GAAGGGAGCAGAAGGTTCGTGGGACAGATCAGGAGACAGGCGTCCTCTGTGGAGACCCCTGAAGGGAGCAGAAGGTTCGTGGGACAGATCAGGAGACAGGCGTCCTCCGTGGAGACCCCTGAAGGGAGCAGAAGGTTCGTGGGACAGATCAGGAGACAGGCGTCCTCCGTGGAGACCCCGGAAGGGAGCAAAAGGTTCGTGGGACAGATCAGGAGACAGGTGTCCTCTGTGGAGACCACTGAAGGGAGCAAAAGGTTTGTGGGACAGATCAGGAGACAGGCGTCCTCCGTGGAGACCCCGGAAGGGAGCAAAAGGTTCGTGGGACAAATCAGGAGACAGGCGTCCTTCGTGAAGACTCATGAAGAGAGCTAAAGGTTCGTGGGACAGATCAGGAGACAGGCGTCCTCCGTGGAGACCACTGAAGGGAGCAGCTGGAAGGAGACATCACTCGTCTTTGTATTCTCACGGAGAAACCTGAACTTTTTTTGTAGTCTCAGAACACAAACACAACTGTGGCATTTATGACTATATAAGGAGCTGGGAGGCGGAGCTTCTGTTTAAGCTCCATGTTGTAATAACACGATTCTACAAAGTGCATGCATGAAATTCAGTGATCATCTGGAACATTTCTGGGGTTTCAGAGCCAGACTGTGAGCTGGAAGGTGTTTTCGGGAGGATGCAGATTCAGGAATGTTTGACCCTGTAAGTCCAGAGAAGAACATCAGAACATGGAAACAAAAGTGCCTTGTTCCTAAAACATGAATGTAGCAAAAGATTTTTACAAAACTCAACACATTTCTCATCAGTAAAAACATCTCTCGGCTTTTTGAAGTCATAAGAAATTGCATAATCTCCAACAAACGGATTGTTTCCAACAAGTATTGAACATCATCACATATTGCTGGCACGCCGTCTTTCCCCTGTCACAGCAGATGAGTCCACAGAAACCAAGGGCAGATTGTCTCCTGCACTTCCTGTCCACTTCAAAATAAAAGCAGGACACATATCCTTTGATGAGCTCTGCATGTTCAGTTTCTTCTCCTGAACTTCAGTTTGATGATCCATAGAAACATTTTCATACATTCAGACATTAAAATGAAGTGATTGTTCCTCTGGCTGCTCTGCTCGCAGGTCAGCCCGTTAAGGCCCGGCTTGTAGATCAGATTCAGATGTAAGAAGTTACCAGGATGTGATACATTTACTTCACATCATATCAAGTTTTTTAAAGCAAAGCAGAAAAACAGACAAGTTGGAGTTAAAAGAATGACAGCAGCAGCAGCAAGAAAGAAAAGCCTGATTCTTCTCCTGGTTGGGTCTGGATCACACCTGGATGCCTTGAACAGCCTGTCGGATGTTTTCCAGCAGCGCCTTGTTCTCTGGGCTCTGGTACCAGTCCTGGTGGGTGTACATGTGTGTCAGAGTGCTCACATACGTGTCAAAGTTCTGTTCGTTCATTGGTTCCTGTGAACAAAACAAAAAATAAATCAGTCTGGAGGACACATTGTTAGGACAATCAGTCTGGAGGACAGGTCGTTAGGACAATCAGTTTGGAGGACACGTCGTTAGGACAATCAGTCTGGAGGACACGTCGTTAGGACGATCAGTCTGGAGGACACG